AGACAAAACTCTAGAACAATTTGGGAAGACAATACAAGAACAAAATGACAAAATAAATTAAAAATTAGAAATGACACAAAATCTACAGATAGAAATCCAGAAGATTAATACTAAAATATCAGAAATAGATAACACATTGAATAACTAAAGGAGTAGAAACGAATCTATGGAAGACAGAATAGTGAGATTGAAGACAAATACTTCAGTACTACTCTGATAAGAGATCAATCAACACTAATAGCAAAGTTCAACAAGAAAGAAAATAAAAAATGCTGGCGGGGATGTGGAGAGATTAGGACTCTCATACAATGCTAGTGAGATTGTAAAATGTACAACTCCTGTGGAAAACAGTATGGTGATTCCTTAAAAATCACCATAGAATTAGAAATACCATTTGACCCAGCAATTCCATTACTAGGTATATATCCTAAAGAAGTGAAAGCCAGGGCAAGGATAGATATATGCACACCCATATTCATCACAGCACTATTTACCACAGCACAAAGATGGAAACAACCTAGATGTCCATCAACAGAAGAATGAATAACCAAACTATGGTACATACATACAATGGAATACTATGCAATACTAAAGAATAATGTAGAATCTGAAAAAAACCACATCATGTGGATGAACTTGGAGGACATTTTGCTGAGTGAAATAAGTCAAATCACAGCAGGACATATATTGTATTAGTCTACTATTATAAAAAGTCAAGGAAAGGTTTACATGTAGAAGGTAACTTTCTTTGTTGGTTAACAGGGCTAGAAAGGGAGGGGAGGGAGAATTGCAAAATAAATAATAATAATAAAAGTTTTTTTTAAAAAAAGACTAAGTTTTGATTTCTTCACAGAAACTATGCAGGCAAGAAGACAGTGGGATGGTATATATAAAATACTGAAAGAAAAAAATTTCCAACTAAGAGTTACATACCCAGAAAAATTATTCCTCAAATATGATGGTGAAATTAGGACATTTGCAGATAAGCAGAAATTAAGGGAATTTGTTAAAACCATACCCACCTTACAAGAGATGCTAAAGGGAGTCCGTGGACAGAGAACTAACAATAGCAAACATCAACCAACCATTAATACACATAATGACATAACCCAGAAAGCAACCCAGTTATGGAAGTTTCCAAAGTAAAATAAGCTTACAAGACTATAAACAGGGAACCAGAGACATCAATTGGCAAATGAGGACAGCTACAAACAAAAAGAGGAAGAAAATAGTGTAGTTACAGAAATTCTAAACGGTGAAGAAGTCAAGACAATTGCAAGATAGAACAAATTGTTCTAAACTTGGGAGTAAAATAAGAAATCCCAGGGTAACCTCAAAGAAAAATAATAAACCTCAAAAAATAAAAAAAAAAGGACAAGCACAAATATTTAGCAAATACTAAAATGACAGCAACAAAGGAAATGATAACACAATTCATAAACATAATGAGCTCATCACAGAAAATTATATGGAACAAAGAAATCAGCAACACCACAAAAAAACACATAACAAAATGACAGCAACAAATTCATACTTGTTGATAATTACATTGAATGTTAATGGATTAAATGCACCACTCAAGAGATGGAGAGTTGCAGAATAGATAAGAAAACATA